AGAGGGAAATTTGAATGTAGGGACTGTTTTGGGATTTCCTTTTGATTTGTATGCATTAAATAGTAGATTTTCCCAGGGGTTGAGCATCTTGAATTTGCTGAAATTTGAGATCTCGTAGATTTAGGTTTTCTTTGGGCTCTAGCGGCGTCTAGAGATTTGGGAGAGATCGATCCTCCTCTCGAATTGAGGATCAATTGTATATTTGCTATTTTCCTTGCAACTACTAGTAAAATAAAAGTCTTTTCTCTGATTTTTCTACAGTTTTTCCCTGCTTTCTTACTGTTTTTGGCTGTTTTTCTGCTGTGGACAGCAGTTTTACATTGGATCTACTTGGTTTTGGTGAGAAACACTTGGAAATCCAAGTGTTTCCTATCAATGTTTTGATTGGATTGTTGCGATTTTAGTGAATAGGTAATGTGAGAAGATGCTTCATTTATTCTCCTTCACAAAAATAAATCCTGGAATCAATGGTTCAGACCCTGGAAATTGAGGGTTGCATATTATTGGGATTGGTAATGAAGGTTTTTCTTCTTATTTTTTTCTTAATCATTTGTGAATGAATAGTTTTAGCACCATCTTCATCAATGATCCCTTGCACAAATTTGAAATTTTGTTATCATTGCTTAGGACCCTATAAAAATTAAGTGAAATTAGAACTTGAAATAACAGACAATAGTTGGAAGATAAAATAATCAACAAAAGAAATTTATGGTCCCATCTTTAGTGCAATTGCGATAAATCACTTCTTTAGATGCTCAGAGAGTATGATAAAGCGTGGCAAAAATTTTGCTTGATTTTGAGCTCAATTTTAAAGCAACCTTACATTTGAATTGTCACTCCTCTCTTCCTTTCTTTGTTTTTTTTTTGCACATTATCGATATTATTTCTTCATGAGTGCACTTGTAAGCAACCAATTTTAATTAGTGCCTGTTTTCATTTCAATATTGTTGTCAGATCACACCAGAAAATGACAAGATAAAAGGAAACTATTGTTGCTCAAGCACCTCAAGCATCCTTGAAGCTGAAGAAATCAAATATGGAAGTAAAATGGTTACCAAAAGACATTTTCATGTTAGAAAGTGTGATCCACAAGAAAACGAAAATGTGCTTAAACTGGGAAAATTGGCTAAAGCAGCCTCTAAATTGCGGGTAGCTGATGATCATTCTGATGATGCAAATACCTATACCCCAAAGCAAACTATTGATTCACCAGTGTCCTATTCAGAACGAGACGAGGTTTCAAGGTTTTCAATATGTTTCCTTTTGTCAAAATAGGTCAACATGCAATTGTTATTAACTAAATTAAGCTTCTTTTTTTTTTTTATTTTGACCTCAGATGACAGAAGTAATACGTACAAAATTTGTGGTGGATGAAACTGATATCACCAATGGGCTTTTTGATTCATGCTCATTGAAGGAAAGGCCCAGGTGTGACCTACTGACATGAGTCATACTTTTGAAATGATTTTGCTTGCATGCTTAGTGATTAATTTTTCATGAATGGTTTGTCTCACCTCCTTCTTTTTGTTCTTCTTTCCGTTCTTCCTTCTCAGTGAGATTCTGTTAGGGCACCTTGAAAACAATTACCAAGATTCTTTGTTTTCAAGAATTCCAGGAGAGTTTATCTGTCCTTTGACTGGCCAGTTATTTATGGAGCCTGTGACATTGGAGAGTGGGCATACGTTCGAGCTAGTGGCTATCAAAGACAGATTTAATCAAGGCAACAGAACCTGTCCTGTGACTGGACAAACATTGAATTGTTCACTTATTCCAGATACTAATATGGTGTTAAAACATGTTATCCATGGATGGGTGGCAAATTGCTTTAGGAGCTCCATCTCTCTTGCCTCAAAGAGCACATTCAGCCCATTGAAACAAGTTCGCAACTACAAATTTGTATTGTCTGTATTAATCATTGAGCAGATACTGACTGGCTTTAGCTTAAAGGAAGGGAAGGAAATCATTGAGCATCTTATTTCTCTTGGAGGTCTGCAATTTCTCACCAAAATGTTGGAAATTGGGAATTTGGAAGAGAAATCACGAGCAGCTGAACTTTTGGCTATGTGCATACAGGCTGATGGATGCTGTAGGAATCACTTGGCCATGAAAATCAGCAAGTTTTCTCTCCTTGATCTCATCCATAGTAAGCAAGTTCATGCAAGAACCTGTGCAGTGTCGCTTTTGATTGAATTAATCTGTCTACACAGGTTTGTGAGTTATATTTGCTTTTAATTTGAAAATATTTAATAGGTAAAAATCTTTCCTGTTGGAAAAATAGTTTTTCTTAAAATACTTTCTTAACCTTGCAAGAAAGAGGAAAGGGTACAAAGACAAGAAAAGAGACTTGTTTTTATGATAGATTCCTCTCTATCTCTATTAAAGGTTGCACCTATATATATATAGGATTACAAGGCTATGACTAGATACGGTTATTAAGGAAATAAATGGGCACTATACAAATAATAAAGATGGAGGGAGAAAATGTATAAGTTGTTATACTAATACTCCTTAAAATGCATCGTAATTTTTTTAACAGCCATCCTGGATAATAATGTTGATAATGTGATGAGACCATGGTTTAGCAAACATGTGTACTAGTTAGTGTGCTGATGTGACAGGTAGAAGTTTGACGGATCCATCAATGACATTGTCACGAACAAAATGGTGATCGATCTCTATATATGTCTTGTTTGTTCATGCCAGATGAGGTTTTTGGCGATGTGGATTGCGGTTTGATAGTTACATAATTGCAAGGTAGGAGAGGATAGTTAGGCATCGAAATGAGCGAGTAATTTGGTTAGCCGAGTGAGTTCAGTGATAGCCCAAAAGAACAATCTCACCCTCAAGAGAAATCTGCCGCTGATCAAATTAAGAGAAGGGCTCTCTCTTATACACTGATAAACGGTACTTTGTACCGTCGGTCTTTTGATCAATTGTGGTTGCGTTGTCTTAACAAACAAGAAGCCCAAAAGATTGTGACTGAGGTACATGCCGGATTGTGTGGTGCTCACCAATCTGATCCTAAAATGAAGATGAAAATTAAGAGGTTAGGATATTATTGGCCCTTAATGATTGACGATTGTATGTCTATTGCACGTTGTTGTCATCAGTGCCAAGTACATGGTGTAGTCCTACACCAACCTCCTAATGTCCTGCATCCAACAATTGCTTCATGGCCTTTTGAAAGTTGGGGTACGGACATCATTGGCCCTATCAATCTTCCTTCTTCTAAAGGTCACCGGTTCATTCTAGCGGCAACAGATTACTTTTCAAAATGGGCAGAAGCTGTTCCACTACGAGAAGTTAAAACTCACAATGTGATCCAATTCTTTCGAGATCATATCGTATATCGATTCGGCATCCCTCGTCGAATTATATTCGATAATGGTCCCTCCTTCAAGAGCACCAAAATGAATAATTTTGCCTAAACATCACAATATTGATTGGAGATACTCCACAAGCTATTACCCACAAGCGACTGGATTGGCGAGGCCTTCAATAAGACGTTGGTAGGAATTTTAAAGAAAATCTTAGAAGATAATAAGCGATAGTGGCATGAAAAGTTAGGTGAGGCTCTATGGGCTTACCGAACCACATATAAAACCCCAACTCAGTCTACACCATTTTCTTTAGTCTTTGGGGCTGAAGCTGTTCTTCCTTTAGAGGTACAACTTCCCTCTTGAAGAGTTGCAATTAACAATAATATCACATCTGAACAGAACGTCCGACTTCAACTAGAAGAACTCGAAGGTTTAGAAGAGAAGCGATTGGAGGCTCAACAGAACCTCGAGTTATATAAATCCCGTATGGCTCAAACACATGATAAATTGGTCCGCCCTAGAACCTTTTGAATAGGAGAGCTTGTGTTGGTCTTACGTAGACCTATCTTGACTCATCGAAGGTTCGGAGGTAAATTTGAGCCTATGTGGGAAGGTCCTTTTGTGGTGGAGAAAGTCTACCAAGGAGGATCATACCAATTGGTCTCACCTCCTTCTTTTTGTTCTTCTTTCCGTTCTTCCTTCTCAGTGAGATTCTGTTAGGGCACCTTGAAAACAATTACCAAGATTCTTTGTTTTCAAGAATTCCAGGAGAGTTTATCTGTCCTTTGACTGGCCAGTTATTTATGGAGCCTGTGACATTGGAGAGTGGGCATACGTTCGAGCTAGTAGCTATCAAAGACAGATTTAATCAAGGCAACAGAACCTGTCCTGTGACTGGACAAACATTGAATTGTTCACTTATTCCAGATACTAATATGGTGTTAAAACATGTTATCCATGGATGGGTGGCAAATTGCTTTAGGAGCTCCATCTCTCTTGCCTCAAAGAGCACATTCAGCCCATTGAAACAAGTTCGCAACTACAAATTTGTATTGTCTGTATTAATCATTGAGCAGATACTGACTGGCTTTAGCTTAAAGGAAGGGAAGGAAATCATTGAGCATCTTATTTCTCTTGGAGGTCTGCAATTTCTCACCAAAATGTTGGAAATTGGGAATTTGGAAGAGAAATCACGAGCAGCTGAACTTTTGACTATGTGCATACAGGCTGATGGATGCTGTAGGAATCACTTGGCCATGAAAATCAGCAAGTCTTCTCTCCTTGATCTCATCCATAGTAAGCAAGTTCATGCAAGAACCTGTGCAGTGTCGCTTTTGATTGAATTAATCTGTCTACACAGGTTTGTGAGTTATATTTGCCTTTAATTTGAAAATATTTAATAGGTAAAAATCTTTCCTGTTGGAAAAATATGTTTTTTTTTTTAAATACTTTCTTAACATTGCGAGAAAGAGAGAAAAGGGTACAAAGACAGGAAAAGATACTTGTTTTTATTATATATTCCTCTCTATCTCTATTAAAGGTTGCACCTATATATATAGGATTACAAGGCTCTGACTAGATACGGTTATTAAGGAAATAAATGGATGCTAAACAAATAATAAAGATGGAGGGAGAAGATGTATGAGTTGTTATATTAATACTCCTCAAAATGCAATGCATATGTTTTTAACAGCCATCCTGAATAATAATATTGATAATGTGATGAGAGACTATGGTTTAGTAAACGTGTCTCCAAGTTGATATGCGGATATGACACGCAGAAGTTTTATGGATCCATTGATGACGTTGTCACAAACGAAATGGTGATCGATCCTATATATGTTTTGTTCGTTCATGGCAGATGAGGTTTTTGTCAATATGGATGGCGGCTTGATTGTCACAAAATAGCAAGGTAGGAGCAGATAGTTAGGCATCGAATGAGCGAGTAATTTGCTTAGCCAAGTGAGTTCGGTGATAGTGGTAGCTAATGATTAGGATCTTGTGTGTTATTTCTTCACCTTCCATGAAATGAGGGAATCGCCTAGGAAGATGCACAATCCTGTGATGGAGTGCCTTGTGTCTGGTCTTGACACCCATTCTGCATCTGAAAAATCTTTTAGTTGAAGAATAGAAGCAGTAGGAAAGAAAATACCTTGACAAGGTGTTGCTTTGAGATATCTGAGAATGTGATGAGTGGCAACCAGGTGTAGTGTTTGTGGGTGAGCAAGATATTTGTTTTAGCTTATGAATGGTGAATGTGATGTCTGGTCGGGACAGAATAAGGTAAATAAGTCAACCCACAAGTCGTCTGTATTGAGAAGCATCAGGCAATGGATCATTGTCGGAAGCATTAAGAAAAGTTTTGGGATCCCGGTTGTGCTTGCTGGTTTTGTCGTAATAAATCTGCTGTTGTTGAACAATTGAAGAGTATAATGGAGCTAGGATAAGGTTATATCAGATGCGAATCGAGCTATCTCAAGTTTGTAAAAGTATTTCAATGTGCCCAAATCCTTGAGTTTATATTGTGTATGCAAAAAACAATATGAGCGAAGAGATACGGAAATATTTGGACTTGTGATTATGATTTCATCAACACATACTAACAAGAAAATAAAGTTAGAATCACTTCCTTTTGTAGTTGGTTACAATGAAAGTCACTTAGATATGACGGCGGCATGGTGATTTCAATGGATCGATGAAGGGGTTGAGGTACTGTATTAGTGGTGTTGGTGGTAAGAGGGTGACGCCGACACAGTGGTAGAAACGAGAGATTAGTTACCGATACAAAACAAAGGAACAGGAATGTACCTCTTCCTTCGAATTCCAGCTTCCGAAATCCTTCGTCTGGCTAGAAGTGCGATCACCACCTGTAACAACAAGATACAGAACGATACTCTAAAACAGAGTGTATTAACTTTCAAAATCAAAAGTGCTTCCCGCCTACAATCAGGGGTTATTTATAGTGTTTTTCTATGCTACAGGATTAAAGAATACATCAATGAAAAAAAAGGAGACACATAATGGCTACACAATGAGCAATATAAGAGACACTCCGGTGTCACCCAGGGTAAGAGAGCTATCAAGTTCATAATGGGGCGTTAAATCAGCTACGTTGAAAGTAGCTGAAATATTGTAATCGCCAGGGAGATCAATTTGGTAAGCATTGTTGTTGATCTTCTTGATGATGCGAAAAGGACCATCTGCTTTTGGACTTAACTTGTCATAGGCTCCGCGGGGAAAGCGTTCTTTGCGTAGATAAATCCATACCAGATCACATTCTTTAAACTCTAGCTGTCGTCTAGATTTATTGGCTTGTTTCTGGCATTTTCGATTATGATTAGCAATGGTTTCCTGGACTTGCTTATGCAGCTGTTGAATTTCTCGGCTTCGCTGTTCTCCATCGGTACTAAAAGAAGTTTGGGGTATAATAGGTACGAGATCCAAAAGCGTGAGAGGATTATACCCATATGCTGTTTCGAAAGGAGTTCGTTTAGTCGTCTGATTAACAGAACGATTGAATGCGAACTCCACTTGAGCTAACACGAGATCCCACTGTCTAATATTCTTGCCTACAAAACACCGCAAGAGGTTGCCTAAACTGCGATTGACAGTCTCGGTTTGGCCATCCGTTTGAGGATGCGCCGCTGAGCTGAATTGTAGTCGAGTGCCGAACTTTCCCCAGAGAGTCTTCCAGAAGTGACTCAAAAACTTTACATCACGATCAGAGGTAATCGTCTTCGGTATCCCGTGAAGCCGAACGATCTCTTTAAAAAAAAGATCGGCGGTGTGAGTAGCATCTATCGTCTTTGTACACGGCACAAAATGTACCATTTTAGAAAAACGATCCACCACCACCATTATGGAGTCTTTGTTTCTTTGAGTGCGGGGTAGACCAACAACAAAATCAATACTGATATCAACCCAAAG